TTGTGAATGCAAAGAAATGAAGACAAAGTAGATGCCCGTTGATTGGGGAATGGCTAAACAAGTTATTGTACACAAATAGAATAGAATAGTACTGTGCAAAAGGAAAATGGATGTGCTAAATAGAGAGAAGCCTGGTAAGACATAGGAACTGATGCACAGTGAAGGAAGTGATATGTATATGACTAAACCAATGAGATGGAAAGAAAACAACCAAACAATTGAAACCGAATGCTGTGAAATTGGTCCCAAAGAAGAGATATGAGAAGCTATCTCTTGGCCTTCTCTGTAGAGGCAGAGGACTACAGATGCAGAATACTTCATGTTGTGTCTTTTTTTAAACATGTTGGTAAGTTTTGCTAAACATTTTTCCTCTTTTTAAATTCTTTGTTATAAGCAAAGGATGGTTTTGGGGGAGAGAGGGAAGATATATCGAGAAATATAGGTGATGTAAGAACAAAAGATGTCAGTATAAAGTTTTTTTTCTTTTTATTAAGTGCTGCTGTGTTAAAAGACTTAAGAATTCTGATCAGTGTAATGAACTGCCATGATTCTAGGGGACATGTGATGAAACATATTGCCCACCTCCTGACAGAGAAATGAGAGATTCATGTATGTGTTTTTTGGATATGGCTAATGTAAGAATTAGTTTTGCTTGATTATTCTTATTTGTAATGAGGGCTTTGTTGTTCTTTCTTTTTCAGTTAGGTAGCAAGAGGGAAGAGAAGGCAAGTTATAGTTAACTGAAAAAAAAATTTAATTTTTTAAAAGTACTGCTTTAATTATTTTAGTATATGTGTGGCCTTTCTGTCTTTTAATTTGGGGGGGGTGTGCATGTTATGTATGTATGCTCTGAAATTGAATCTCCATATCAAAGGATATGAAAAGTTTAGTAACTTTTCTCTAATAATTCCAAATTGCTTCTGGAATGTGGGACACTAGTTTCGTCTTTTTCCCTAAGAGAAGTAAATTGATTTGCCACAGTTATGATTGCCCTCAAAGTCCCTAACTATCATTGAAAGGGTTTTTGGAACACTGTAGAAGTGTTATATAGAAAGTGAATGTAGAGGATTATAAGTCAAAAAGATTTAGGTTCCAATCCTAGCACTGTCACTAACTTCTTATGTGACCTTGGGCAAATCATTTCCGCCTCAGATTGAGGTATGTGTGTGTGTGTGTGTGTGTGTGTGTGTGTGTGTGT